TTATTAGTAAATATAGTTAGTCAGAGGGAGGAATGCTCCCTTTGTAACTAAGCACCCTTGCAGTTACCAGTTTTAATTAACAGTCTGTAGATGAACGCCCGGTATCTAAAGCGTTTTAAGTCGGGTGCTTCGTTACGAAAAATGGTGTGTCGAAAGTATTTGTGTTGGTTCTAGGAGTTGTTGAAGATAGAAGGTAAAGCTAGTTGATTTAATTTCTAGAGTTGTGTTTCAGCCGCCGTCACCATAAACAAAGGCTGTAATTAATTCGCCGTTCGAAACTGTTCCCGTGAAGATATTTCAATTATCTGTATTGCGTCCGAAAGCTCTATAGTCATTTAAGGAGGAGGGCGAATTCATATTTTAGAATTTCAGTTCCGTTAAGTAATTATTAGATGATTTTGGTTCATTATGGTAATTTAAAACGAGCATTACAACCAGTCGAGGTCGTGCAGACTACGTGCTTATCAGCTTGCCATCGCCTATCCCGCCGGTTGAGCCCAACATTCAAATTAACAATAAGTATTAGATTATCTAATTTTGGAATCTCATCTCACTCATTGAAGGTGTTCCGTTTTGAAGACGTACGTAATATTTATATAGTATAGTAGTTATTACATTAGTTCTTTATTTTCGCCGTTAGAGACCATCCGAGTATTATCTTTTACAATATTTTTTTTTATTTTCTCTGCTAGAGGTCGTGATTTTCTTTTCTTTTCTGCATACGCATTTCGTTCCTTTCGTGCAGTGAAGTTTTTCTTTCATAATGGTTGCATGCAAATTATTTTGATCGATACGTCATTACTTGTTATTTGACATATTGTCTACCTGAATGAAGGCTAATTTCTTTAGAGTGATCCCAGGTAAAATGTTGACCCCCTAGTAAATAAATTTCTTAAAAAAATAAATAAAAAACCGACCGAATGAAACTATTCTCTAAATGCTGCATTTTTTTTATTTTACATTGGCCATTATTCCCCCAGCTTCCAAATTTGCAAAGATAAAACACTTAAACTAAAAACACCCTCGATACTTGTGTAATAATTATTGTGTTTGTTGGAATATGTTTTACCGATTTCTGTTTTTGCTTCTTTATTACGATAGGCAGAGAAATATCATCGAATACAGATTTTGACAATACAAGCTGTGTGCTTAATTTGATTCTAATCACTGCATTATCTGACAGCCTACCCATATATTTTTACGGTTTTTGAACAAATGTAGATCTAAAAAAGTTAATGAAGCGTCGAGACGTTCTAAAATTTTGCTAGCTCCATAAACGTTATGCGAGTTACGGTTTTGTGTTTGCACATTTTTAGAATCGCGTAAATGATCCCGAGTGGGTATATTAACGCGACATTAAACGCCACGAGTGTTTTGTACAGTTTATTCAGATTTATAAATAAACTTTGGAAAAGTTAATTGTTGGGTTATTAAACTCTGTTAAATTCACAAGCACGTAGATAATTTAAAACGCGACTTCATTATGCTTTTATAATTAAACCTTTTGTTTTATGAAGGGGCGTATCTTAGTTACATATTATAATATCATTTGGGGTACCGAAGTTTAAATGGCACATTATTTACGCAATTAGGCTTTATTAATTACGTTTTGAATAAATACAAGTACAATTGTGTGGAGTTATCAAATTTTTGCCCTCCCTTTGACTTCATACATATAGGTACATGACAATTGAATTATTCGTCTTCATATGTAGGGGTAAAAGAGCATTACTGTAGTTTGAGGGTATAGGTAGGTAGGTAAAATTTTTCTAAAATATCTTCCAACAACCCTTAAAACGCAATTAGAATGATTTGCCATTGTCCTCATTTTCAACCCGCAAACAAATTCGAAAGTTAATTGAGCACAAATCAATTATAAAATGCTAATGCAACAACAGATATGAATTGAAACATTGCCAACCAATGTAAAATAATACCCGAAAGGACTGGCGCAATTATGATCAAATATCGAATAGCTCTTGGTGTACATATATTTAAATTGGTTGTATAATTGCACGGCCCTTTTTACGTACGTTAATTGGATTTGGAGTGGTCGGCGATTTATTTACTGTTGCTTCGATTATATTGTAATTCTTTTTGTGGGGCGTAACGCGATAGAAGTGTTCTGTCGCAAAGTAGTCGATCATTAATTTAAATAGTTGTATAACGATTATTGAATTCAATGAGGTGTAACAAGTTTTCATAATTGAAATTCACTTTATGGAAGCACATTCATTAACAGCGTTTTGTTTTGCTGCAGCGTTGTTGAATTTATCACTGCATGTTTGAAATTTTCGAGGGTCATTAAAAATAATTATTGTACTGAATGTCATAAAATAAATTAACAGTGGTGCGTACATAGGGGCAAAGGGCACAGAAATAATGTTGCAATACTGCCAAGTTGGGACCAGAAAAAAAAAGACAATGGCAATTAAACGTAAACTAAACAAATGTAATACCTATATAAAAATTTCGTGTCACGTTGTTTGTAGGTAGTCACACTACTAGACCGCTTTTTATGAATTTTTTGGTACATATTCTGGTAGGTATGAGAATAGGTCGTAATAGTTATTTATGATTAAGGGCATCTCGAGGGCGACGAGTTAAAAAGCTCGGGGGCCGGTAGGCAGCATTCAGTTATTTTTATTTCGGAAAACAAATGAGTAACGAAAAACAATTGAATTTTTTTAAATGGCAGTGCACCTTTTCATAAGAATCATTATTTGATAGAGATTTTCGATGATATAACATGTTAGTACCCTAATATAAAAAAAATTGTCAAACAAACTTATTATAATCACATCAATTACATTAATCTAGATATCCTACATCAAAATAAAACAAATAAACGTGTACGTTTCTATTAAACCTTGTCCTTGAGGACAAAATGAAATTAGCAATAACATGGTAACAAAAGGATTTGTAATACAAGTTTAAAAATCGAAGTGTTCCAGTAAAGTAAAAGTATTGTGCATCTATTCAGAATAGCTGGTGTAGGCATTAAATATGTAGATATATTTTAGAATTTATTCGAGTAAAAAAGACGGATTGTCCTTTCTGATTATAATACAAACGTAATTCCACGTAAACAAACGCATACCCAATAGCATTTTAAGTAACCCAAAAGATCACTAACAACTTAAAATCCGTCCAGTGTGATTATGCAAAAAAATGGTAAATTTAATTAGGTATAAAACACATTTATTAACATATAAGATCAAGAATTTAAAGTGTGCCCAGTACGCTTTCGTCATCAAACATAAATCCAGTCTTAACATCTATAACATTTATCAAGACATCGACCTTGCCAGCACTTAAAATGTGACCGGTGTGATTTTGTCACCAAATTCCAAATCCAATTTCAAAACACAAGACCAGTAAGAATTTTTAATGCGCTTAGTATGAACCACAACACCGTAAACCCCTTTATGATCTAAGCCTCTAAGGAAATAACACGTCATACGGTAGTGAAATGCCGGAAATGTCAACTGAAAAATCTTGTTTACGGCGAATATTTTTTTAGTTAGAATCTATTTCTTTCGTACGATCGCGAAATCTCGACACCAGACGCGCATCTCATCGTATATTAATCTTGGAACGATCGGTAGGTATTACAGAAAAAACTATAGGGCATAATTTATATACTGTAGTAAGCTCCAAAATTATTATTAAACTGCATTACACGTTCTGTACTAAGAAGCACAGTAATACATAATACCTTGCTTTCTATATAAAATTTTAATAAATAGACTCATCGTACATTGTCAGCAATATTATATTTTATATTTTATCGAATATTTTATATCGAATTAGGAAAAGATTTGCCATTATTAAACACTCCGTTTACCTATAAACCTCCCTCATAATGTACCGTTGTTTAATAGTACAGTAATAAATTTCAAGAATTTTTTCATGCTCGTCATTCTCGAAAGAATATTTAAAATTAGAAGATATTCTGTTTATTTAGAGAAAGAAATATTGCAGTACCATTTTAACCCATCTGAAGGTGTATGAGAGTGCCGCCAATAAATGCAAGTATGTTTAAATTTACCTACTAAAAGGCTAAACCGAGCCCACATAAATTATTTCTTGTCGCGTGTGTACACATTTTTAATAAAATTATTAAAGGTACAGTGTCTGTTGAAAGAAATGGAAAAGATGTATGCCATTGATAAGGTAAAGCAATTACTGCTTAGACCTTTACTTCCTTATTATTATTATTATCGCTATATTATTTTACGATCAAACGAACTTACCTGAAGTTCGATCGTAATTATATGAAGCATCCATTCCGAAGATATCACTAATTAACAACGTAGTTCGGTTTCTGTACCACCATGCCACAAGATTTAAAAGCAAACAAAGTCCCCCCTTCCGGCCCATACTCCGCACGTCTCAATACTCTCATTGTATTCAAAGTGAGAAGAGTTTTCGTGCAACGGGGCCCCGGGTGGGTGGGAGGTGATATCTTCGGAATGGATGCTTCATATAATTACGATCGAACTTCAGGTAAGTTCGTTTGATCGTAAAATTATATTTCAGCATCCATTCCTTCAGATATCACTAATTAACAACGTAGATTTTTAAAGATAAGTTGCAGCGACAAACTCTTTAATGACCAACTAGGCCAACAGAAGTAACATCAACTTAACAAAACATTCTCAAAAAGCAAAAAAGCGTCTAAACGCCTAAGTTCAGGATTGTTGACACATAGGAGACCGAATTCGTCAGGGGACGATTGTAGAAGCGAGCAAAAGTTTCGGAATCCTTACTCCATCCCGCTGTCTGTTTAATTTGCTCAATGGGGACTCCTAGTCTACACGCCGCTGAAGTCGATGCGTGGCGTGCCGAGTGGGATTTGAACTGGTTGGTGTCTACTCCCGCTAAGTGAAGAATCTCCTTCACCCAACGACTAAGCGTCTGTTTCGTGGCAACTCTGTGGGGTTTCTTAAAGGTTAGAAACAGAAAATCCTCTTCGTTTCGAAGGCCACGTGTTGCATCTAAGTACGCCTCAACAGTGCGGGCCAAACAGAGATTAGCGTTGTCAAAAAAAGGGATCTTGAGAACCGGCTGGGGCCGGTTGACGCCTGAGGTCTTCAGAAAATCCGGTATAAAGATACGTAAGCCATCTTCGGATCTCTGAATACCCGAAACTTTAATCAACGAAATTGTCTGCAGGCGCTGGCCGGTCGCAAGAACAAATAAGGTGGCTAGTTTTCGTGACAGTCCTTTCAGGTCCGGGGTTTGCATCCCTGCAACGAAAGCCAGCACGGGTTGTGGGTCCCATGTTGTATTGTACTTTGGTTTTGATGGTCGCAAACGTGACAAACCTCGCATGAATCTCTTCACCAAGGGGTCTTCTCCCACTGATCCCGGCAAGATGAGCGAAAGCGCTGAGCGATGGTTATTAAAGGAGCCATACTTACAATGACCGTTGTTGAGCAAATCTTGAAGAAAGGACAGCACATTTTTTGCTGTGCCAGTAAACGGATAAATGTTCTGCCTCTCACAAAAGCTCCACCAAAGCTTGTAAGAAGTCGAATATTGTTTAATCGTAGCCGACGATAGGGAGGTAAGAATGGTGTCTAGTGTTTCCACCGGGGCACCTTTGCGCTGTAAGGCTTCGCTGATACAACTGCTGCCACCAGGGAAAGCGTATCCGACAATGGGTGGCGGGCAGTTGATGTGTTTTTCTCTCTCCGCCTCCCTCCACCATCCATGAGTACGTTCTCCTGCCGCACAGGCCCCCCAACCTGTAGTGGATGCATCCGTATAAACTATTAATGAAAAGGAGTCTGGTCTTATATCATTAAAAGAACTGTCAATGTGCTTTTCCCACCAGAGAAAATCTGACTTTAGCTTTACCGAAAGAGACATTTTCGCGCTGTAGTCAAAGTTGTTAACTTTAAGAGCCCTGACTTTCTCGCGTTCGAAACGCTTCGTGTAGAGCCAGCCGTATTTCACGGCCGGACAGATCGAGACTAGTAGGCCAATAAATTGAGCAAACTGAATGATTTTACACGATTCCCGGATCTGAAAAAAATGAATCCAGTTTTTTAGTTTCTGCCGCTTGTCGGGCGGGAGCTCAATTTTTAGTTCCGTGGTGTCTAAGACAAAACCCAAGAATTTGCAACGGTTACTCGGTATCAGAACACTTTTTTCAGTGTTAACTATGAAACCCAGAGAAGTCAAGAGCTTATATGTAAGAGAAACATTTTTGGAACAGTCCTCAAAAGTTTCTCCCAGAATTAAGAAGTCGTCAAGATAATTGACACAAGTCACCCCTTCTTCTCTGAGAGTCTGGGTAATAGGTTTCATGAGTTTAGTAAAAGTATATGGTGCCGACGACAAGCCAAATGGGAGACAATTAAATTCAAAGAGTTGATTTTCAAACATGAATCTCAAAAATTTTCTATGCGCTGGTATAATAGGCACCAAAAAATACGCATCCTTTAAATCAATTGACGCTACGAAACAATCCTTAGTTATTAATCGCAGAGCGGTTCTTATGTCTTCCATTTTGAAATGTGGAGACTTAATAAAGTTATTAAGGTGTTTCAGGTTTAGAATAAACCGTTTCTGGCCATTTTGCTTATCTGCTAAAAAGATGCGCGACAAAAAGTGGTTCTTTCTCGGTGTACAGGGAGAAATTGCACCTAGGCGCAAAAGATCCAGAACAGCTTTTTTCATAAACCCCAAGTCTTTCTTCGCAATCGTAGAGTTAGGGGGCTGAAATTGTGTGGGTAATTTAGTTAAGGGGAGTTTATAACCCCTTATGCAGGTCAGGACCCAAGGATTTGACGTGAGTTTACGCCATTGAGAATAAAATAAAAAGAGCCTGCCAGCGTAACAATCATTTACCTGATTTATTTCCGATGATAGCGCGTCTCCTTGAAGTTGTAAGATTTCGGGATTTGCCCTTTGTATTGTCTCGTCTCTCCCCGACGGACCGGGCGTTGCCTCTGTTTAACGCTTTGGTATGAGGGGTCGAGTTGCTCCCCCCCCTTTTTGGTGTCGGCTTTTTGAAGGACGTGGAGTAAGTGGCCTTAATGCCGGAACTCGCGGACTGCAACGCCTTGGCGTCCCTAATTTTTTCCGACAACCCGTCTCCAAAAAGATGTTCAGTAGGCGAAGTTTTTTCAAGTACGGCCTTGACCTCTTTATTCACGAGAGGAAATATCAATGACCGTCTCAATTTAGTGAGAGAGAAGAATAAATTCGTTAACAACCGTCCTGTGTCACCTAAGAAATGTAATAAATTGTCTTTTAATTCCGGCGACAGCTCGGTGTTATGTGAGACGAGAATACGAGTAATTGCTTGCCCCAGCGCCGATAACGCGGCCGTTAACTGGTTCTGCGAACTCGATAACGTAAGGTCTCGGTTTTTATGCCCGCTCGTCATGACCTGTGCGACCAGCTGATTTATTTCGGGTGGCGTAAGTTTTTCACAATTCGATGGCTTAATATGTTTTCCCAATAATTGTGAAAACTCCTCCGAACCAAGACCATTTTGTAGAATAGTTTGCCAAATAGCTGACAATTTTTCATGGAGCTTAGAGCCCGTGTTCGTATTTTCAGGTGCTCCCCCTAAGATTTGAACGATGTCATCGGACAAATCGCAATCACCGTGCAGGCTGAGAACGTCGTCCTCGCCGGGTTCTGGAGGTGAGCGAGTTACCGAAGCTAAGCCGCACGGGCTGTAGACGGCGGTAATCGGGGGCGAATTATTTTTTGAGGAAGCTAAGCCGCTCGGGCTGTAGACATCTCGAGGCGTAACGGTCGACACACCTGGCAGGTCTCGAGAAACGCTGCGATTACGTCTCCTTGCCGCCTCAATATACGCCGGCCCGCGTAGGGAGGAGCGGCTACGACAAGAGTCTTGGGTTTGCAAAGTGCAGGCACTGGAGGACCTGGAGGAGGAACAGCTCCCATGGCCACGCCGACGGCGTAATCCCGACCGTTTCGTAGTCCGGCTCCTACTTCTCGAAGAGCAGCGCTTGGCGAGCTTCCTTTCCAATTCCTCAATGCGTTGGCGAAGTTTTCGTTTTCCACCCATTGCTAAATGCTGCAATTTTTAGAGAGGAGGCCGGCCGTGGCCGACGATAAGTACTTACCAACGCTGCTACCTATATGTGTGACGCAGTCAAGCACAAGAAACCGAATGAGAGTATTGAGACGTGCGGAGTATGGGCCGGAAGGGGGGACTTTGTTTGCTTTTAAATCTTGTGGCATGGTGGTACAGAAACCGAACTACGTTGTTAATTAGTGATATCTGAAGGAATGGATGCTGAAATATAATTTTGATCATTAATTGGAAATCAGCGCAAGTGCCGTTTTTAGAAGATTCTATAAAAAGCAAAGTTGGAACCGAAATGTTGGCGTTTATTTTCTAGTAAGAAGGTGGTTAATTTTACAATTTTTGTGAATAGGGTGGTTAGAAATATTTACTACTCTTCTTAGGGAAGTTACACTGTGTCATTTCTGTTTTGCATAAAAGCATATTAGCTAGTGTTATATAGATCTTCCAGTACTGGTTTGGTAAATAATAAATAATAAATAATAAATAATAAATAATAAATAATAAATAATAAATAATAAATAATAAATAATAAATAATAAATAATAAATAATAAATAATAAATAATAAATAATAAATAATAAATAATAAATAATAAATAATAATGGGGTTGGAAACCCAGTAAGGAACACAACTCCTCCAGTCCCAGAGCAAATTTTATAAGCCATTTTTGGCGTTGTTCTACTACCAACTGCGGTTATAGCTGTGGGTGCAAGAAGCCAACTTCCAAGGGAGCTGTTTTGTTTTTCGGTAGATCAGACCGAACTTTCCGAAAAAAGCAGGGGTACAATGGAAACGGATCTTGCTACATTAATAGCTTGCGGATTTAATCGAAATCCTAATATTCGTGACTGTTCGTATTCAAATTCATTGAAGTGCATTGAATTTACAATGAGGTAGACTGACCCCCCCCCCCCCATTTTTTGGCATCAACTTCACGAACCGTATTCAATTGAATCGATCGGATGATTTAAATGATAATAACAGACTACTATAATAAAACATGGATTCAAAGTCACTCAAATGTTAGTGAATTGCGATTTTAGGTAGCTAGTGATCTGCTGCTGCTAGGACTGGGAAAACGTACCACTTAATTCGTCGCTTTTTTTATTATCTAAACATTTACTAGGTTACATACAAAAAATCAGCTGGTTATTAATAATAATTTTCCCCGACGAGAAAGTAGCTGCCCGGGTGGTTACCGAGGGTTATCTGAGATGGGAGCACAACACGTTGAGTCAACTTAAGAGTGTAGGACCGGCCGGAATATTCCCGGTCCTTCTGCAGAAGGGCCTAGAACTGCTTATCTTACATTTGTTGCACCTCTTTAGAGCCTTCCTAGCTTTAGGGTGTATCCTCAAAAGCTGGAGAAAGCTAAGAGGATACCATAATAAGCGTATACTGGATGCCCACTGATGTGTATGGAATATAGTATATACGTATCTCCCGCGGTAAATAACGACTGTATACAAAACTTTTCTATATAAGAGTTGGTTAATCCCATAATAACGCAGCATTCAGTTTTTTAAAACAAGAGCAACAAATTTTTTTAAAAAGTAATATACCCTTTTATTAGACACGTTTGATAGAGATTATTTTCTCTTTTCCATGAATATAGAAATTAAATACTAACTGTTTTGATCAAGTAAGTGCATAAATAATTTTTTCTGTAACTGATCTACAGGAAACTCCAGGAAAGTGAACAGCATCCAGAATCGAATTCGGATGGTAGAAAAACTCTTCATGAGCCTAGTATTGTCAGTATATGCTTCGCATTAATACTTCCCTCTTCCTTTATAACTTTAAATTGCTTATTTTATGCTCAGCAGAAGGGAACAGAAATAATGCGCTGTATAATTTGTAACACGTTATTCTAATATCAGTGAACGTTTCTGCTTACAGCACTTGTGAAATACAAACTTTTGCTCGTGCCCGCTCGACGGAAGCATAACTTTTTTCACCCGTTCATTCATTAAAAAGTTTCCACTCATCTAAAACGGTATAGGTACTAGTTAATCCAAATAGATCTGACATTAAATGTTTCAAGATCTGTCTTCATTAACGACACCTTACTCATTATTTACAAGATTAATTGCTATTTAATGATGGAACATGAATTGTGTTGGCTATAAATGTTATGCAGTCGCTTGAAGGATGAAAACGCACAAAAACGTTGTGAAACGGAACAACAGGTTTAATGATCGACATAATTAAATGTTTTCTGGCCATTGCGAAAATAGAAAAGAGATGTAAAAAATATAGGCTAATGTATCTCTGGACCGAACGTTAAAATTAGAATGTATTCCTCAAAATGGATTAATTTTAGGAATTGTACTGAAATTGTACATAATGCCAGTGATTTTATTGATGTGACCAGCCGCACTTTTTGCTCTCTCCCTCTTGTGTCCCACAATAAATCAGCTTGCACTGTTCATTTTGTTAGCACAGCATTCATAAATTTATTTCATCATTTTCGCCTTAGTAATCATCCGACCAGAGAAAATTATGTCCGCTTCATTCACATAATTTTTCCGAAGTTTTCACTACAAAGAAAGTTTCTTCGAAGAAAAGTTTCGTCGTCAACGCACTTTTTTTACTCGACCGTGCAATCCTTAATTAACAAACAAGCTTGCGAGATGCATTAGAACTTATGAGTTCGGAGATGGCTTTGAGGAGTGACTTTTCTCTTCTTTAGTTATCTCCGCATCGAGTTAGGTCCCAGTGTTCCGCACCTGCTGGTGCCTGTCAGTTGTTAAACTTGTGAAGCTAAACTGTAGCGTGTTTCCCCTATCGCAAATACGGCCGTCATCCCTTCTAATTTATTAGAGTGATATGATACAGATTTGATAATGTAATTTAGGTTTCAGTTAACTTCAAGTTTCGCACACTTTATGTTTATTAACTGCGTGTTTTACCGTTTAGAACATATTTTCTTGTCACTAAGGTTTATGACACATTATACAGGAAGTTTCTGTGAAAAAGACAAATTGGTGGTAGAGAATAATTCATGTTACCCGAATTTGGTAATTGGCAACTGAATTTTCGAATTACATTGGGTTAATAAATTAGTCAACAGTTACAAGCCATTTAATACCTTTTTCAATTTGTATACTGCGCTCAGATATTTAAAAAAAGGCACAGTTTCATACAAGCAATTACCATATCTCAGAGTTATTGCCTATTTTAAGCTTCACACATATCCTTTTTTGAACTATTCTCTAGGCACGAGTTTGTGATTCTGTTGATTAGGAATTGGAGCAGTCCCATTATCGCCAGGGAGGTGGCCATTGCTTCATGTTTCATTTATGAATCCTGCTTGGTATGCTGGTGTCTTGGGTGTGTGGCCCTCTAGGCATTGTAGTAGGTAGGCTGCATATAATATCTTGTATCCCGCACTACATAGCGAGATTCTTCTGTAGACATCTGTTCCTTGTGGTGACCTGACTTTCGAGATGGGGATCGTCTGCTGTCATTCCTTAGGGACCAAGTTCCTGGTCCATACCCCCTGTATCAATGCATGTATATCTTTTATTGGCGATTCTGAGGCGTATTGTAGTAATTCGGCCTGGATCCTATCCTGTCCTGGCATTTTTCCCTTTTTCAGTCTTCCTATTAGGGGATGGCGGGAGTGGCAAGTAATCGTCCTCCGTCATTCGTTGGGTCTGTCCTTCCAGTTCCTCATTCATGATTCAGGAGTTTCTCCCTCACTCATTGGTATATATTTTCTGTTTCCCGCTTGTTTCCTTCAATTTTTTATGCCGCAGCTATTAAGAGTACATCTTTTTTGTGCAGACACTCATGAAACTCAAATATTTGAAAAATGTGAAGAATTAAAAGAACAAATACGTAAAATACAAAGAGTCTGATATTTGAAGAAACTAAAATATTGGAAAAAATTTCTAAGCATGGAGAGGACCTACCTTGACGAATTGTAAAATGTTGAAATACTTTGAACGATTTGAAAAATGTGTATATTCTGAAGAAGCTGATGAAACCACAGTATAATTCAAGAATTCAAGGAGAAGAATTGGATAAGCTGGCAGTTAAAGAACTGCAAAGTTTCAGAATCCGGAGGGTCTAAAGGATTAGGATTCAGAAAGTCACAAAGCATAAAAATTTTAAGTATCGTATGGATCTGCAGAATTAGAAGAAACGAATCAATTCAAAGAATAATATAAATGTGAAGAACGGGTAAACTTCAATGATTCTTAATTTGGAATAGTTCGGAGTATCTTAAGAATCAGAGGGATCCGTTGTATCAGACAAATCTGATGGAGAATTCTACAGGCCAGGAAAGAAAGAAAGAATATCCGAAAAATAAAATTAAGGTTAACATGTTAAAAATATGATTAATGTAAAAATGCAATTATAAAAATTACAGAAAAATGAAAATAATGAAAAGTTTTCATTTGATGTTTTCATGTTTTGTTTACATTTAAGAAAGCTCATGCAGCTTTATTACGAGATTATAATTGCTTGTTGTAGGTATATTATTAAGATTAATTTGCGAAATGGCTTCATGAAGCAAATGTAAGAGCTGAAAAATTGCGAATGTAAGCGCTGAAAAGCTCAAAAAGTGCAGAATAACAATCCTTTGGATGCACTTTCAATTGCTCTATCGACGGTCTGCGTTACTAATTGAACGTTGCAAGTTTGAAAGAATTAGAAGTTCTCAAAATGCTATTTAGAGCAAACTAATTAGACGACTTGACAAATTGAAAAATAAAATGCAACAAATAAGCCATGAAAGCAATTACTTTCCAATTCATTTATTGCACTAAGTGATTCTTTATACGTGTAAACAGTACAAAAATTACAAATGCCAACAACAGTGATTGCTTCTTTGAAAAGTCAATAACAAAACAATAATGAGATCATTAATTTCACAACGTATATCTCTTTTATGTACCATTCCAACGTGTACCCAGATAAAAGGTTAATATTTCTGCGTTAGATATTCATCGGACATGTACAATATTTTTCGTAGTTATCGTTCTGTACATAAAAAACTGTAATGTGTGAGGAATTTAATGTGTACCGTGCGTTGTAATTCACTTTACAAAGATAACTTCATTGTAACGCTTAAAAAAGCTGTTTTATTACGTTATTTGAATTAAATCATTAGGATTGTCTACGGACAAAAGTCTCATAGGGTTGTTTACCTCTCTGTTTTAATTTTAACAAAGTGGGTTTCGTATTTTGTGCAGGAATTAC